GCAGATGTCTCCCGGGGTTCGATTTTGTCATTCCGGGCAACTGGAGTTCAGGATGCATTAGAAATTTCAGTGCAATAAGCTGTCATTCGACGGGTGGCGGGGGCGATATTGATTATGAAATGAGAGCATTGGACAACACGGCGTGGCAAAGCAATTCCTATGCTGTGTTGAAAGCTTTGACTAAAGAAGAGTGTGGGGAAGCCTGTTTGGAGGATTGCAATTGTGATGCAGCCCTGTTTAAAGATGGGGAATGCAGAAAAGATAGGTTGCCCCTGATATATGGAAGGAGATCCATGGGTGACTCTAATGCAGCTCTTATTAAGGTTGGATTGCCTGTTAGAGGAGGAGGTCCGGTTGATCACCCCACAGGAAGCAAAAAACACATTTTAGCTATCAGCATTTCATTATTAGCTTTTGCTCTTCTGGTCTTGGTGATCTCGGGGGTGCTGATACACAAAAGCCGGGCTTGGAGATATAGAAACATCTCTGCTGAGAGCAGAGGTGACCATTTTTTCGAAGACGTTGGTCCCCGGGCTTTCACCTATGCAGAATTAGAGAAAGTAACCAATGATTTCAAGGAAGAGCTTGGCAGAGGGGCATTTGGGACAGTATTCAAAGGAGTGCTAGCAGAATGCCAGAAATTAGTAGCTGTAAAGAGGCTAGAAAAAGTTTTGGAAGAAGGGGAAACAGAGTTCCAGAATGAAATGAAAGCTATTGGAAAAACCCATCATCGTAATTTAGTGAAGCTGCTGGGTTACTGCATAGATGGACCTAAAAGGCTTCTGGTTTATGAATACATGAGCAACGGATCTCTGGCTGATATACTTTTCTCACCGGAGAAACAGCCATGCTGGGAGGAGAGAATTGGCATTGCTCGAGACATCGCAAGGGGCCTTCTGTATTTACATGAAGAGTGTGACACACAAATCATCCATTGTGATATAAAGCCTCAGAACATACTTATGGACAATCAGTTCGTGGCAAAGATTTCAGACTTTGGATTGGCAAAGCTTATGAAGCAAGATCAGACCAGAACTTATACTATAGTTAGAGGAACAAAAGGCTACGTCGCACCAGAATGGCACAGGAAGATGGCGGTGACAGTAAAAGCAGATGTATACAGCTTTGGGATAGTGCTGTTAGAGCTAATCAGTCGACGAAAGAGTGTGGATTGGAGCCTTTGTGATGAAGAAGCTGTTCTTGAAGAATGGGTATACAACTGCTTTGAGGCGGGTGAGGTAAGTAAAGTAGTTGGGGAAGAGGAAGTGGAGAAGAGACAAGTAGAGAGAATGGTAAGAATTAGTCTATGGTGCATTCAAGAAGAACCATCACTCCGCCCTTCAATGAAGAAAGTTTTACTAATGCTAGAGGGGACAGTTGATATCCCTGTTCCTCCCAGTCCTACTTCATTTCTTAGTGTTGTGTAATTCAGACTTAACTATTTCAAACTTCTACGTTTTTTCCTTTTGCTATTTGGAATCTTTAAGTCCATGTCTTTTAATATATATTGAAATCAAATAAATGTAATACTATTTGCTTGTATGCATAGACGGAGGCAGTATGGGGGCAGTGGGGGCAGCTGCCCCCACTCCCCCACCTCACCCCTTTATATATATGTATGTATATATCGACATATATAGCATTAAATGTTATATAAAATTTATATTTATGTTTGATTTATTAATAGTTAGAGTAGCTTAGTTGTTTGAGCTTTAAATTTAATTTTTAAAAAAGTGTATGGTTATAGGTTCGAATCTCATTAAAAACACTTTTCCATCTTCACTTATTTATTTTATATCTTTCATTCCTTCTCAAGATAAATATTTTTTAGCCTACTTTTATGAATCATTTAATTAACAAATTAAATGCTCTTTTAGTCTACTTTTTATGAATCATTTAATTAATGTAGTATACAAGTTTATATTAGGGAAAATGGCACTTTTCCCCCTTTGTTATATACTTATAGCACTTTTTTCCCCTAAATTATTTAAGTGGCAGTTTTTCCCCCTGATATATTAAATGGACATATTTACCCTTAAAATAAATATTTCATTTATTTTTCTTCTCCAACAAATTATAACCACGATTTGAAAAATAAAATACATTAAGTGTTAAATTTAGAATATTTTAAAAATAAAAAATAAAATTTTAAAAGAAAGTTTGAACCAACCGTTCAAATTGGATCCAAAATCGTGAACCGACGGTTCAAAATAAAACTCAAATCGCGATTATATATACTTATATGTGAGACTCAATATAAATGCGGAAAAAAACATACACTATTTGCAAATATTATAATTCTAATTTAAGCTATTGCTAGTAGTTGTTCCGATTTGAACCTCCGGTTCACGGTTCAGGATCCATTTTTTTCCAGTTCACGATTTTAATAAACGGAAACCCAAATATTGGGTTATGTTATGAATCATAACCGAAATTTTTTAATTTGATTGCTATAGTGTTTGGTTAAGTTCGAACCGAACCGTGGTCATCCCTACGTATAAGCAATAATTTGGTGAAGAAGAGAAATAAATAAAATATTTGTTTTAAGGGTAGAAATGTCCATTTAATATTATCAGGGGGAAAAACCGCCACTTCTATAATAATTGAGGTGGCAAATGTGAATGCATGAATAACTCAGGGGAAAAAAGTGCTATAAGCATATAACCCAGGGGGAAAAAGTGTCATTTTCCCTTTATATTATGCTTCATTTTATTCAAATTATTTTACATTTTTACCTCACTCAAGTATACTTTTTTGCTCTGATTCTAACTATCGTTTAATCTATCAAAAAATTTCTATTGTAATTTATAATATATTTTGTATTTTAACCTTATTATGATTGTTTGATATTTCGTAATTGATATTGCTAACTTTCATTTAAACTTCGCCCCCGCTCAAGTATTTTTCTGGCTCCGTCCCTGCTTGTATGGATTATGCTTCATACCCCATACAGGTTTATATGTGATGGTTCTTACATATACAAGGGGAAATTTGGATTTTAATTCCCTAAAATTCAAAAGTATTTCTTGAACCACACAATTTGGGTGGTTTATATGTGGCGTTCAAATAATAGAGTCTTAACATATTCATTTACTTAATTTTTTATTTTCAGAAATTTTATATAATACGAAATTGAGTCTATAATTGAAGAAATTGATATCATAGTCTGAAAGAGATTGAATATACATATGTATAGCGAAGAATTAAAACATCAAAAAATGATATTGAAAAAATATAAAAAGAAAAATACGTAAATTATTTGAACTTACTAGTAATGAAAACAACAAACATGGTTATCTATAAAATTATATATAAATGATACTATAAATACAATTAATACTTTCAAATGAACAAAAGAGTATTGAAAAAATATAAAAAGAAAAATACGTAAATTATTTGAACTTACTAGTAATGAAAACAACAAACATGGTTATCTATAAAATTATATATAAATGATACTATAAATACAATTAATACTTTCAAATGAACAAAAGAGTCATGTTATATGACTGTTTTTTTTGAATGCTACTGACTAAAAACGCCTCCACTGAGACTCAATCTCATAACCTCTTATATGAGAGAAATTACTACATGCCATTTAATTATGCAAGTGTTTGGTAAAATGACTTATTGCATTAACTTATTGGGACAATAAGCTAAAATCTAAATATCAAATGAAAAATACAAGAGAGGCATATAGCAATTATCAAGACAAACTAACCATATAGCTAAAGCATCAACAATAGAGTTCGCTTCGCGACAAACATGACTTAACAATGATGAATGAGAGTCAAGGAGACCCTTGATACAATCAAATATACTACGAATCATCCAAGGGATCTAATTAAGCTTTTGAAGATGACGCTAAGGAAACAAGGAGCTTAGAATCCACCTTAATAAACGCTGGCCATTTAGAAGCAATATCACACCAGCAGAGGGTGTACTCCAACACCAAGGGCTTCGCCTCCAAAGGCGAAGACGCAGACAAGGGAAAAGCTAGCACAGCCACAAGGCAACCAGAAGAATTGAATCACGTAAACACGCCCTACCTGCGGCTCCTACTGAAGAATATATATGACGCATCCGTGTTAAGTTACAAGCGCCCAGTAGGGGGCCTTAGCCACTTAAAACAAGATACAATAGTGCACCTAGGCGGAGCGAAAAAAGCTATAAGACCTTCAGATAATAAAATGGAGTCCGAGGAGCAACAATACACAGGTTGACGTCCCAGATAAAGGAGGAAAAGTTGTTGTTTGATAGCCTAGATCAAGAATTTCACAGACACCGTAGACCCGTCATAGATTGCTAAATTATAACCTGACCATATGCCCCAAAGGATTACACATATAGCAAAATACCACAATAAACACCTGAAGCTGTCTCGAGTTACCCGTAATCCACAAAGCATGTGTTTGGAAAAAATCCACTACCTGTGACAAATGAAAATCACAGGACCCACAAGAGCATCAATACGAGATGATACAAAATAGTCCAAATAAATATGAACAAACACACGGTTTACGTGGAAAACTCCAAAATCACGGAAAAAAACCACGGGACCACCACCAACAAAATATTCCACTATAACAAATCTTGGGTCCTGACTATCACACGAGCCAAACATCCAAAATCATCAAATACAACAACACTAGGCCAAATACATCTATTCTGATTCACAGACTAAAAAGAAATAATATCTCGTACTTAAAATATTCAACCACCACGCGCAAGATGAAATGAATACAAATATTACGAGATTATCCAAAAGATGATGAAGCAATAGAAAGACCAGGGGTCTTTTTAGTCTTTTCCTTCTAAGAAGTTAGTTATAACTGCTTCTTCTGTAATAAAAGAGCAGCATCTCTTATCTTTCTTTTACACAGTTAGATACTATCTTTTCCTTTCTCCTTTGAGCTATGAATACACAATGCTTTCCCTTTCCTTTTGGTTTCGTGTGCACTTCTCAGCATTAGCTCCCATATGATCATCATCAATTCATCATGTTATCAGAGCGCCATCGAACTTACGCCGCAGCAGTGATGATGGAAGAGGCCGGAGAGAATAATCCGGTGGGGAATGCAGCAGGTTCCTCAAGTCAAACGACAATGAATCCGATTCAGAGGAATGAGGAGTTTGATGATCCTCTATACCTTCATGCGACGGAAAATCCTAATCTCAGCTTAGTTTCACCTCTATTGACAGAGGTCAATTACACTTCCTGGAGCAGATCTATGAAGATTGCTCTGGAAGTGAAAAATAAGCTCGGCTTCATTATGGATGCAGTTCCGGTTCCATCTGAGGCTGATCCTAGACTTGCATCGTGGAGGAGATGCAATCGAATTGTTTGCTCGTGGATCCTCAAGTCGGTGAGTCCTAGCATTGCAGATAGCATGATGTATTTTGACAAGGCTTCCGACATTTGGAAGGCCTTGCAGAAGAGATATTCTCAGTCTGATCCACATCGGATCTCTGAGATTCAGAATGAAATTTTCAAAAATGTTCAAGGGAACATGTCAGTGAATGAATACTTCACCAAGTGTAATTCTCTGTGGCAGCAAATGAATTCTCTGAGGCCATTACTATTATGTGAATGTAAGCCTAGGTGTTCATGCACTCTTGTGAGTAGGATGCAGAAACAAAGAGAGGAAGATCAGATAATAAGATTCTTAGAGGGATTAAATGAAGAATATGAGATTATCAAATCAGGAGTATTGGTTATGGATCCAATTCCTGACATTGAAAAGGTGTTTAATATGACTTTGAAGGTGGAAAGAAAAATCAGAGGTTCACTTAATAAAAAGTGCAATGATCTTATTCAGTCCAATGCCATTCAAAATCAGGTAGAGGAGGAACAATCCTTGGTGGCAACTTCAAACTCCAATGGCAAGAAGAAGTTCTTCAATAATGGGGGAAAGAGTACTCCTAAATGCACCTTTTGTGGCATGAATGGTCACACTATTGAAAAATGCTATAAGAAGGATGGATACCCTCCAGGATGGGTAGCAGGCTACAAATCCAAGTTTAAACAGTCCCAGCAGTCTCAGGGGATGCAACAGCCTCCCAATGCTTCCATAAATCAGGTTGGAGATATAGGTATTTTTGTTGATCAGTTCCAAAAGTTGTTGTTTCTTTTGCAGAATCAGAATAAGGGAGATCAGGCCTCAGGCAGTGTTGCTGTAACAGTGACCACACCTAGGATCAAATCAGATTTTAAAGAAACTATGGGAGTCCAAGATGAAGGTAGTTTCACTTATAACTCTCATGTTGGTGCTGTTTTGAACTCACACAATTATTGGATCCTAGACTCAGGGGCAACATATCACATTACTTGTTCCCTGGACTACTTTGATACTTGTCATAAGGTTCAAGGTTTATCAATTAAGCTCCCAAATGGTGAGACAGTAAAGGTTACTCATATAGGACAAATCAGATTTGATGAAAATGTGTCTCTTCACAATGTGTTGTTTATCCCATCCTTTAATTTCAACATTGTTTCTGCTAGTAAGCTCACTTTGCAGTCTAAGTGTAAGCTTATTTTGGGATCTGACTCATGTGATATCCAGGGAATTCATGGAAAAGTGGATGGTTTTGCTGAATAGAAGGGTGGACTGTACTTGATTAATAAACCTCCTGTGAAGAAGAAAATTCAATCAATTGATAGAAATGCTGGAAAACAGTGCAGTGCTGTGACAATTCAGACTTGGCATAATAGATTAGGGCATTACCCTATTAGCAAAGTACCTCTGTTGAATGGAATAAAACATGTTTCTGTCAATAAACAATCTGATTTTGTTTGTGATGCATGTCATTTTGGTAAACATAAGAGATCTATCTTTCCAATAAGCACTTCCAGGGCTGATAAGATCTTTGATATGTTGCATATGGATGTGTGGGGCCCTTTTGTTGTTGCTTCTTTAAAAGGAGAACATTATTTTCTTACTATTGTTGATGATTTTAGTAGGTTCACTTGGTTACATTTGATGAGAAACAAGTCTGAAGTTAAGACCAGGTTTCAGAGTTTTTATAACTATGTCTGCACTCAGTTCTCTACCAAAATTAAGAGGGTGAGGACAGACAATGGAAGTGAATTTCTAATGAAGACCTTTTTTGATGAAAAGGGCATTGTGCATCAGAAATTCTGTGTGTATACACCCCAGCAGAATGGAGTGGCAGAGAGGAAACATCCACATATCCTGAATATAGCTAGATCCTTGAAATACCATTCTGGTTTACCTGATGAGTTTTGGGGACATTGTGTACTTCATGCTTCTTATCTCATAAATAGATTGCCTACTGAAGTGATTGGTGGACATACCCCCTTTGAGTTGCTAACTGGGTGACACATAGACTATGATCAGTTGAAATCTTTTGGTTCCCTGTGTTTTGGTGCCACAATTCCACAAGGAAGAACCAAGATGCAGTCTAGAGCAAGGAAATGCATCTTCCTAGGGTTTCCAGCTGATGTTAAGGACTATATACTTTATGATTTGAATGATAAGAGTGTCTTTATATCAAGAGATGTCAAATTTTATGAACATGACTATCCCTTTAAGAAACAAGTTTTAGAAGCTGGTGTTGGGTCTGATAAAACACTGAATCCATCATTACCCTTGATTCCATCCTTCATTGATGCAGAATTCAGTCTTGTGAGACACATGATGAATCCTAGAAGCATGGCAGTAGACAATGATGAGAATAGACATTCAGATCATGCAAGTGACCAGCCTAATGATACATTCTATATTGAGATGGATAGTGCTGTTATGGACCCTACAATAGTTGAAAGGATTGATGAAATGCAAACTGAAATGAGTGCTGGCAATAGTCCCAATGATCAGTCTCAGCCCAGGAGATCAGTCAGAGAAAGAAGAGCCCCTACTAGATTACATGACTATTACTGTCATACCATGTAGGGCAGTGAATCAAAACTGAACACATCTCCTCATCCCAAAAGCATGTTTGTTTCTTCTGATAACTTGCCACTCAACTATAAGAGATATGTTCATTCTATTACCTTTACACATGAACCACAGTCCTATAATGAGGCAGTGCAGTTTGAGCCTTGGAGACAAGCCATGCAGTCTGAAATTGAAGCTCTAATTCAGAACAACACATGGACTCTGGTAGAATTACCTCAGGGCAAGGTTCCAATTGGTTGTAGATGGGTTTACAAGGTCAAGCACAAGTTTGATGGTTCCATAGAAAGATATAAGGCAAGATTGGTTGCCAAAGGTTATACTCAGCAGTTAGGGGTTATTTATTTTGAGACCTTCTCACCAGTAGCTAGGATGACTACCATTAAAACCTTTCTAGCAGTATCAGTTGCCAAGGGATGGGACATTCAGCAGCTTGAAATCAATAATGCCTTTCTTCATGGGGACTTAGATGAGGAGGTTTACATGGTTTTGCCACCAGGTTTTAAAAGTGATAAGCCTAATCAAGCTTGCAAACTTTTGAGGTCTCTATATGGTCTAAGACAGGCAAGTAGACAATGGAATGTGAAACTCACAAGGGTTTTACAAACTGCTGGTTTTAAACAGTCCTCAGCTGATCCCTCTTTGTTTACTAGGGCCACAGGTGATGATTTTCTTGCTTTGCTTATATATGTGGATGACATACTTTGTAGCAGGTACAAGTTCCTCTCAGATTCAACTATTGAAGCAGATGTTGGATGCAGCCTTTAAGATCAAGGATCTAGGCACATTAAACTATTTTTTGGGTATTGAAGCTTTTATAACTCCCAATGGCCTCAATTTATGCCAAAGAAAATACACCTTGGACATTCTTGCAGAAAATGGCTTTTTGGACTCTAAGCCAGCCAAAACACCATGCATCACAGGACAGAAACTTACCAAGCCTGAGGTCTACAAAAAGCTAGTTGGCAAGCTCCTATATCTAACACACACCAGACCTGATATCTCCTATTCTGTTCAGCAACTAAGTCAGTTTGTGGATAAGCCAAGGGACATTCACCTAACTGCAGCTCACAGGGTTTTGAAATACTTAAAGGGTTCACCAGGCAAGGGTCTGTTCTATTCATCCACCTCTCAGATCAAGCTTCAAGGCTTCTCTGATTCAGATTGGGCCTCCTGTGTTGAGACCAGAAAATCCACTACAGGCTTTTGCATTTATCTTGGGGATTCCCTTATTTCCTGGAAGACTAAGAAGCAGGCTACCATCTCCAGATCATCCTCTAAAGCTGAGTATAGAGCCTTGGCTTCCACAGTTTGTGAAGTCCAGTGGCTTGTGTATTTGTTAGCAGATTTGCAAATCAGCATCTGATATTGCTATAGGTGAAAATCATGTTTTTCATGAACGAACAAATCACATTGAGATTGATTGCCATGTAGTAAGGCAAAAGGTTAGTGAAGGTTTGATAAAGCTGATGGCTGTTCTCACACTTCAGCAGACAGTAGATGGTTTTACCAAAGCTCTACCTAAGGCTTTGTTTGACATTTTTCATGATAAGCTAGGCCTTCATGACATTCATGCTCCAGCTTACGCGGGGGGGGGGGGGGGGGGGGTGATGAAGCAATAGAAAGACCATGGGTCTTTTTAGTCTTTTCCTTCTAAGAAGTTAGTTATATCTGCTTCTTCTGTAATAAAAGAGCAGCAACTCTTATCTTTCTTTTACACAGTTAGATACTATCTTTTCCTTTCTCCTTTGAGCTATGAATACACAATGCTTTCCCTTTCCTTTTGGTTTCGTGTGCACTTCTCAGCATTAGCTCCCATGTGATCATCATCAATTCATCAAAAGATGCCTGGAATAAATAGAAGCTGACTTCAAAATATTTGATGAAGATAATACCCAAGGGTTAGGCAAACACACGACAAGGTAACAAAAGATGGCTCCTTTCGTTACGCTGCACACTGCTGTGAACGAAGAGGAAGAAAGAAAATTGAATGATAGTGAGGTGCTAGAAAGCAAATGAATTCACCCCTTTTATAGAGTTGGCTGCCGACATAGGGATGAAGGGAGTAAAATTGATCTTTAAACTTCTTCTCCTCAACTCTGCCTCAACTTTTGCCCAAACTCCTCTCCAACTTCTACCCATATCTCATTCTCCAAGACAAGTAATTATCACAAACTGTTGGCGTAAGCATTTTTAGGAAGAAAATTGTTGCAAAAAATGACAGATTATGTAAATATTATATTTACTTATTTATAATTAATTATATTATGTAAATATTATGTTTACTTATTTAATTGATTTGTTTAGATTTAGGCGATAGTGTAGGAAGCTTGTATGTGTATATATATGCTGATAATTAGCTAGATTAATACAGAAGAGTATTTTTTTATTCCTCCATTATCGTTTCTACATGGTATCAGAGCATTAATGAATGTAGAAACTGATTATTTTTTTCTGCAATCATGACTGAAAATATCCCCTCCTCTTCTATTATTCCCCATGAACCTCGAATCATTGTCCAAGACAATAACCCCTTCCCATCTGGAATCATCTTAGATGATACGAATTATCCATTATGGTCTCAAAGTATGGAGATGCGTAGTGGAGCTCGAAACAAATATGGATTTCTTACATGCACAACTCCGAAACCAACCGCAAATGACAAGCAATTAGAAACATGGTTTATTGATAACAATAAGGTTAAGAGTTGTCTTATTGACCCTATGAGTCCGCTCTTGATGCAACGACTCATTCGTCTGCAAACAGCCAAAGAAATATGGGAAGCAGTTGCAAAGACGTTTTATGATGGCTCAGATGAAATACAAATCTTTGAACTGAATCGGAGATCATTTACTACACATCAAAATGGTAGACCATTATCTTTATATTATAATGAACTAATTGGCATATTTCAAGAAATTGATGCTCGTGTTCAAACGCAAGAAGCTAACGCTGATGTAATCATACTGCTACACAAACATATGACTAGACTTTAAGTTCATATTTTCTTGGCTGTTCTTGACCCAGAATTCAATCAAGCTCGAAGTGAAATTTTGAGAAAAGACCCACCTGTAGATCTGGAGTCATGCTACGCGTATGTTCGTAAAGATCACAACCAGAGACAAACTATGGAGGAACATAAAGTTCAGTCAGATAGCATGGTTCACTTGACCGCCCGCACACGTCCTGCAAATTCCCATCAAGCTAAAGGTAAAAAATTTGGCACTAAAGCAAATAACTATATTTGAACTCATTGTGGTGAGGAGGGACATTCCAAACAATGTTGCTATGAAATTATCGGGTATCCTGAGTGGTGGGATTTTACAAAAAAACCTCGGAAGAAAATTAGACAAACTGCTATTACTAACACAACAGATGAGGGAGTGATTACATCTCCCCCAAATACAGTTGCAGCACATTTTGCCAAGGCTGACGATCCAGGTCTGTCTAAAACTTATCTTACTCTGGATAATACATGGATTATTGATACAGGTGCCATTGATCGCATGACAAATGACTCTACCCATCTTTCCTCTATTCGTTCTTCAACTCAACCTCACATACTTACCGCAAATGGAGGAGTTGCACTCGTTACTGGTGAAAGACCAGTACATGTGTCAAATTCCATTAATCTTGATACTGTACTTATAGTCCCTTCTCTTTCTTCCAATCTCTTATCTGTT